CTGGCCACCGCAGCCTCGACCTGCTGGGCTCTGGCGATCCTTCTGCCTCAGCTTTCCAAGGAGCCGGGACTACAGGCACGCGTTACCACACCTGGCTAATTTTTTTTGATTTATTGTAGAGATGAGGTCTCGCCAAGTTGCCCAGGTGGATCTCGAACCTGGGGCTCAGGCAGTCCACTCACCTCAGCCTCCCAAGGCGCAGGATTACAGACTGAGCCCGGCTATCCAGTCTACTTTCAATGGGCATGTCCTCACTAGAATCTTCCGAAGCACTTCCTACCATGGGCCAGGTTCTCCTGTAAGGAAATTCAAAGATCAAGATACTTATCATGCCTAATCATACCACTACAGATCAGATAGGAATAAAAAGGTTTAGTATAGGAATTGGAGCTCACATGAATGTTGGGGGCTGAGAGAACGAAGACCTGGAAGACTGTAGTCAGAGAATCAGAGAAAGTAGTCCCCACTGACTCCAGTCTGAGGCTCTGGAGCAGAGCAAGGGTTCATGGATGACTCTAAGAAATCACCTTGCCTGGGCCCACAGCCTCAGTGTGGGAGTTTATGGAGCGTTTGCAAAGTCTCATCATTAGAATTTCCTGAGTATTATATATTTTGCTTCACTTTCACCTTTTTTTTAAAGTCAGGTTTTCACTCTTTTGTCTAGCTGGAGTGCAGTGGCATGATTACAGCTAAGGTAGCCTTGACCTGCTGGGCTCAGATGATCCTTCCGCCTTAGCCTCCTAAGTATCTGGGACTACAGGCATATGCCACCATGACTGGCTAATTAAACAATTTTTTTTGTAGAGATGAGGTCTTACCATGTTGCCCAGACTGGTCTCAAACTCTTGGCCTCAGACCGTCTTCTTGCCTCAGCCTCCCAAAGTGCTGGGCTTACAGACGTGAACCACACTGTGCCTGGCCTCACTTTCACCTGGAAGCTTGTGACTAAAGGGATTCTGGGAGTTGTAGTTCTCAGGGGAGTGGCAGTAGCATCAGTTGATGAAAGACAGCCCAGCCCACAACTTCCCAGGTTTGGGGTGGGGTCTTGCTGAAGAATTAAAATGCAGCATGGCAGCTTAGGCCAGAGCCTGCAGAGGAGCATAAAAGAGGCAGAAGAGCTGGGGCCTTCAGAGCAAGTTGTGTGTGGAGGAGGCCATGTTTAAGCTTACGTTAGAAAGGGCAAGGCGTTGTTGGGGAAGGGTATTTCCAAGTTGACGGAGAGGGAAGCGTTTCAGGGGTCGGCATGGTTGAGCTTGGTGGGGAACTACAGTGGGTAGGTGTGGATGGCTGGGTGGGTGTGAGGGGAAGCAGGCAGGCCTCAGATGGGGAAGGGCCACAGATGGCAGGACCAGGAGCATGAGTGTGATATAGGTGGGGATCCACAGATGACTCTGATGCAGAAGTGGAAAGGTCATTGTGTTGGCAGGGGGGCAGAAGATCCACAGTGCTGTCATGAAGATGCTTTGGAGTTGCCCAGGGCCTGAGGGAAGGCAGTGGAAGTTCAGGTTGAGGACAGAGGCCAGACCCTGACCAGCGCAGAGTCAAGGAGTGAGAAGGGAAGCTATCTTGTGCAGTATGAGCTTCACCAAGTGCATGTGTTACTAGAAAATCCCGGCAGAATTCCCAATACAGACATGTTTCCCTTTTCCTCCTGATTTGTTTTAGACCTTGGATTTTAAAACCTTATTTTTTAGTGGCTCAGAGCCCATCAATTCTGAGAAACTTTCCATGACCACTCTAGACCACAGCCACCTCCCTCTGCCATTCCCCCAAATCTCAAGGTATTCAGGACTCTTGGATCCCATCCCACTTAAAAATGAAAATCTGTGGGACTAAAACTAAGAAGATACCTTTTTGCTGCAAATATCCTTTTCTCTGGTTCTCTTCTTCCTCATAAACCAAATGAGATGGTTGGCCTAGGTCATTTCAAATGATCTAATAGTCCAGGTTTCTTTGTGGGACTTCATAGCCAGACTCTACACATCTAAGTGATACATTCTGCCAAGTATAGCTCCTTGCATGCTCTTTGCTAGTAGTTGCTTCATAAATGTTGTTTCTGCTTTTTGCTTACTTGTTTTTACTTCTGAGCTGTTTTGACTTACATGTGGACTTCAGAAGTGATAAATTCCAACTTCTTAGGGTACCCCCAACAAAGCAGGCAGTTGCTTACTCCTTCCTGGAATAGCATTTATTCTTTTCTGTCAGTTCACAGTTAAGGCATCCTGATAAACCCTTGATACAGTGTCAGTAGAGGTTGACTGCAAATCCAAAGTGCTCCACAATTAGAAACTTCTTGAGGATTAATGTGACGCTCAAAAGAAACGTTCATAGGAGCATTTCAGATTTCAGATTTACGGATTAGGGATGCTCAACTATACATATAATGCAGATGTTTCAAAATCCAAAAACAACCCAAATCTGAAACAAGCATTTTGCTTAGGGAACACTCAACCTGTGTATGTAAGCCTGGCCCAGTCATTGTCTCCTGTTAGTGTGTTTTGCACATGGAACCCTTGGAATCCCACAAATACATTCTCTTTGTTTCTCAGCAGAGCCCATTTGCTTTCTGGTGTAGGGCCGTTGCCTAGGGTGGCTCCTGTTGACCCTTTTTCTGTCTACTTCCTTTTGAACTCCCCCAGGTTGCGCTCTTTTTTTTTTCTTTTCTTGACTTGGAGTCTCACTTTGTTGACCTGGCTGAAGTGCAGTGGCATGCTCACAGCCACTGCAGCCTCGACCTGCTAGGCTCAGGTGATCCTTCCATTTCAGCCTTCCAAGTAGCTGGAATTACAAGCATGTGCCACCATGCCTGGCTAATTTTTTGATTTATTATAGAGATGAGGTCTCACCAAGTTGCCCGGGGGTCTTGAACCTGTGGCCTCAGGCAATCCTCTCACCTCAACCTCCCATATTTTTTTTTAAAGATATGGGTTCTTATCTGTTACCCAGGCTGGAGTGCAGTGGTGTGATTGTAGTTCATTGCAGCCTCCAACTCCTGGGCTTGAATGATCCTCCCGCCTTAGCCTCCTGAATAACTTGGGACTACAGGAACGCACCACCACACCTGGCTAGTTTTTTAATTTTTTGTGGAAACGAGGTCTTGCTGTGTTGTCCAGGCTGGTCTTGACCTCCAGTCCTCCAGTGTTTCTTCTGCCTTTGCCTCTCTATATTGGGAATATAGATGTGATCCACTGCGTCTGACCAACTGCTTGCTTTCTTATTTACAATGATGCCTCCTGTTTTCTGGCAGCTGATATCCTCTAGACTCCTGCTTCTCAACCTGGCTGCATGTTAGAAGTACCTGGGGAGCTTTTCAACAATATTGAGGCTTGAGCTGCACTCCAGACTACTTAAATTAGAGCCCCTGTGGGGTTGGACCCAGGTAAAAATGTTTTTAAAAGCTCTGCAGATAATCCTGGTACACATCCAAGCTGTACGACGGTTCTGGAGTATCTGCTGATCTTCCTAACCTGGCCCTTTTCTGCCATCTTTCTGCCCCAAATTCTGCTGCTTGGGTAACTACCCCAGCAGTGCCTGTTTTAAAACTCAGACATAAGCCCAAGGGTCCAAACTAATGAGGCATGGGAGAGTGTTGATTGGTTGGAAGTTCTAGTGGCATTCTCTTCAACTGGCAGTAATTCCTGACCTCCTTATGTTTGCACAGATAGAACCATCATTTTAAAGATCTTTTAAAACATTTGTCTTATACACAAATGTTTGCCAACCTGTTAGTCAAGGCGATGAAAACCTTGCAGTGATGATCCTTGCTTCCCTTTCAGTGAATCATAGGGCAGAACCAGAGGACGGGAGTGCGGTGGAATTTGAGGCAGGGCAAAGCTGGGCCCGGGCAGGTCTGAGCGTGGGAGCCCCTCACTCACCCATTAATAGCATTTCACCCTCACCTGGGAAAGTCATGTCTACCATGTCTACATTAGCAGCGCCTTGGGCTTCCCAGCTGTGTGGGTGGGTGTGTATTCCCTGATCTACTGATCAGGAAGAGCAGACCTAGTAAGCTTGGTGCTGACCGGTGGCTGCCATGCTGGCCTGTGGTAGAGCCAGACCAGACAGAACTCAGGTTGTATTTCCTCACAGATGCTTTCCCGTCTGTGTCCTCTTTTCTAGAACTTTTTTCCCCCTTCCGCCTTCCGTTCTTTCCTCCCTCCTTTTGGTTGCTTCAGGACTGGTGGGAAGAGGGTGGGGTTGTTGAGAGGACACTGAGTTTCTGTTTTTAAAGTTCAGAGTGTCAGGTTCTTCAGATGCCAGACGCAAGAGCATTCCTGGAGACGCCTTTGGAGGAAAAAGAAATCACATCTGCTTTTGTCTGTTTTTATTTTTCATTTAACAGCAGGTATTTTTATTATTCCATGGAGACGGACGTCTGGTCTCTATTTCTGCTTTATGGTGAAAGTTCAGAAGTGGTCAGAGGAGACCTTTGTTCCAGCCATGAACACCCTTCCCTTGGCTTTTGGATGGTGGTCCCCGGGCTTTGTGAGGCTGTGTTAGCTAAGCCCTTCACCTGCTTGAAGTCTGAAGGGGAAAAGAAACCCAGAACTCAGCTCGGCCAGATGCCCTGGCTCTCCTTCTCCCTTCCCTTGTTGTCCCCTGCCTGGCTCGGCCCATCTTCTGCTCTGTGCTTTACAGGAAGGAGGAGACGGTCACCGTCTATCCCGCAGACGTGGTGCTCTTTGAGGGGATCCTGGCCTTCTACTCCCAGGAGGTACGAGACCTGTTCCAGATGAAGCTTTTTGTAGATACGGATGCAGACACCCGGCTCTCCCGCAGAGGTGCGTTCTAAAAGCTCAAGGTGGCCCTGTTGGCAGCCACCTTGGGGGCAGGGGAACTGGGTGTCTGTGGACGGGTCCCTGCCCCCACTGAGTCTGAAGCCTGTGCCTTCCCCAAGGCAGCTGTGTGTCACATGAGGCTACATCAGTCCATCCCCAGGATACCCTGCTGCCCAAACACTTGGTGACATTTAGAAGGGCTTAGTCACTGTTTCAGATGATGAAAGGCTTGCGAGGTCACAGACAAAATAAGCTGATGTCTGGTTTTGCTGGGGAAAAGTTGGTTGAAGTGCTTAGTTCCTTGTGATTTTCCCACAGGGTATCAAAATCAGATGCCTTAATTTGAGGAACTAAGGAGGCTGAGGACAGGATGCCCTTGTTGCCTGCAGTGCTGGGTGGCCTGTCTATTAGCCTGCTTCTCTGGCCCTTTTTCTTCTAGCAGTCTGTATGTAGGCTTGATCACTCTTTCTAGCCAGCTCAGGAGCAGGAGGCTGGCCTTTCCCTCTGCAGGCCTTAGTGAGTATGCACCTGCCCATGCTAAGGCCCTGTGCCCTGAGCACAGGTTTGGGGAGCCAAGTCTGTGAATTAAGCCCTGTAGGACATTGAACAGAGAGTTTGCTTCCACCAGAAGAGATTGGGAGGCTTCATGGAGGAAGGGGTCAGGACTTAGATGTGGTAGGGTCTCATAAGGTACACAGCAAGGTACAGACAGTGGCTTGTCCTGGGAGTCGCTGGAGTGTGTACAGGGTTGCACAAAGAGATACTAGAAAGTAGCTTTGCATGCGGTTGTAGGGACTGAGGCTTCCAGTTTGGCTCCTGGTGGGCAGGGGAAAGCCACCACGGGGTTTTGAGCAAGGCAAGTGAAATAGCCACTGCTCCGTGTTGGTCGCAGATTCTGACGGAGGAAGGGAAAGCCTGCCGCCGGTGTGACTCTGGGGGGCAGTACTACCGATCTAGGCAAGCGTAGAACTGTCGTCCTCAGGCTTGGGGAGAGATGAGTTAGAGGTGACAGTATCCAGCAAGGGCAGTGGGTGGGGGTGACTGAACAGAAGAATGAAAGGTGACTAAGCTTTGTGCCTTTATTGTGCCAGAAAGGGAGGGAGATACAAAATGATGAGGGTAGCCCTTACTCACAGGGCACATTGTTGACACATCAATGTCTGGGTAATTTTCTCATTCATGAAACAAATCTGCAGTTTATCCAGCTTAGTACTATCATGACAAGAACTGGTGGGGGTTTTTTGTTTGTTTGTTTTTTTAGTTAGTTTGTTTTAAGTCGGGGTCTTACTCTGTTGCCCAGGCTGGATTGCAGTGGCATGATCACGGCTCATATAGCTTCGCCCTACTGGGCTTGGGATCCTGCTGCCTCAGCCTCCTGAGTAGCTGGGATAATAGGTGTGTACCACCACGTCTGACCAATTAAAAATTTTTTTTTTTATTTTTGTAGAGATGAGGCCTCACTATGTTGCCCAGGCTGGTCTTGAATTTCTGGGGTCAAGCAATCCTCCTGCCTCTGCCTTCAAAGGGCTGGGATTACAGGTGTGAGCCAGTCACCACGCTCAGCCCACAAGAATTGCTAATGGGATCAGTGGACCTTGAGAGAAACCAGGCCTGGGTCTTGCCCTTCTGAGTAGTAATGTGATCCACTCTGTAGTAAATCACTAGGAGCCACACCTTTGCTTGCAGGCAGGGTGGGGACTGGTAGCGCCATGAGATGGAAAGGAAGCAAGCCCGGGTGTGGGAGGAGCTTGCATTTTAGTCCTAGAAACCCCCATCCCCAGTCAGCTTTGTGACTGGACCCTTGTGGCAGCTTCAGCTTGAGTTTCTTTCTGGGTAATTCTGGGGAGACAGGCCTGCTTTTGGTGTCATGCGCATGGCCAGGTGGGATTTATGTGGTCTTTCTGGATGGATAATTGGAGCCTGCGCCTGACAGCCCCCCATGCTTCTGACCCGTCACTCCAGGCTCTGCTTTGGTTGATGTGCTCGTTGTCCATATTAGCTTGCTGAGTCAGAGAGGCAGCTGAATACACAGGGGCACATTAATCTTGGAGTCAGGAGACCTGGGCTGAGTTCCTGGTTTTGCCACTGACTCGATGTGTGACCTTGGGCAAATTGTCTTCACATCTTTTTCCTGTTAGGGTACCATCTAATGATTAGTACTCCTGGGATGGTTGTGGAGATTAGAAGTTGTGCAGGTAAAATGTTGGTGGCGCATTCATCGGGAAGAGCAGGGATGGTGTGGTTAGCGCTGTTCTGTTTTCTGAGTTTTCTGTCATGACTGGCCAGGACCTCTGAGGAGGTCTGGGATGTCCCCAGGAGCTGGTGATACCCAAGCTGATGCCATTCTGAGTCCAGCAGGTGGCACTGGGTGTCAAGGATGCAGTGATCTGAGGTAGGCCCTGAGGAGGGTGTGTGAAACATCACTCGGAGAATCAGAACCACGTTTTGAGCAGCAGCGATGACCTCAGAAATAAAGTGAATCTTAGTGTCTGATTCAAGCAGATCATATGATCTGGTTAAACAGAACATTCCCTCTCCTTTCTCGTACTGGGATCCTTATGGGGAATGGAAGACATTCCTGTGGTTATGGTGGCTTTCCCTGGGGTCTCTTAGGGCCATCCTGCCACCCCCCTGCCTTTCCTGAGGCTGCCTGGGTAGGGCTCTACCCTCATTTCTGATATACTGGCTTATTGTCACCCACTGCCCAGTCACTTTCCTGGCAGACTCGTGGGACTTTCCCACATGCTAGTTCTACAGATTCTTTCTCCCTCCACATAGGACAAAAAACATGCCTGGCATGTGCTTTGTGGAGTGTGGAGGTGGTACAGGAAGTATGACTGGGGGGAGGGGGAGTTAGTCAGAAGCAGCTATTGGTTGGGTTTGAGAACATTCCCAGGAACTTGAGTTAGCACCTATGATTTGAGCTGTCATTGACACCCTCCTGGGCATGGAATCCCCCACATGCCAACTTGACCTTCATGGAAAGAGACTGCCTTCGAATAATGCAGCCTGGCCAAGACATGCCTCCTTCCCGTTGGGGTCCCTAGGGATTGGTTTCCGGTAGGGCTTGCCTTACCGGAAACCCCTCTGCGCTGTCTACCCTGATCCATCCTCAATGCTGGGGTGGGGGGATTTAGGACTGCCCACAACTTGTCCCCTCGTATGTCATTCTCAATCCCTGGCTAGAGCTAGGGCTGCACTGGACCTTCAGGGTGTTCAGTCTGTTCTTTAAGGTAACACATTTCACGTAGGGTAACACATTTCCCATTTCCCATAGGTAACACATTTCTCCATCTAGTTTTTAAACTGAATTGACTTTACCACTGAGGAATTGTCTTTATTTTTGCATCCTAAGTTTTGTTCTAGGCTTTGGTTAACCAGCAGGAGCATGACTGGATTTGGAAAGGCTGAAGTGGAAGGTCTAGCGGGGCTGGGGGTAGCCTTGTAGCTTTCTGCCCTTTACCCTCCTCTGAAAGGGCCTGTCCTGGCCCAGCCAATGTGCTGGTGTCAGAACAATAATAGGGAGCTGGTTTTGAGTCCCCGGTGTCTGTGGTTTGTGCTAAGATCTTGTTCTGACTCAGTCCTTAGCCTGATCTCATTTCCTGACTGTGCCTGAGGGGTGGGACCTTTCAGTGCAATGAGCTGGCTGGCCCTGGGCTGTCTTTGGCTTGAGGAGGAGTCCCAGTGTGCTCAGGGTGACAGCTCTGTTGAAGCCCCATGTGGAGCAGAGGTGTGCAGAGCCCCTTGATTTTGCATATTCCTAGTGTCTGGTCAACATTTTGACCCATTCCTGCTCTCTGTCCCAGCATGGAAGCTGGAGTGTAACTCTCATCCCCATTTCTCCCTCTCCAAGTATGTCTTCCCGTGTGCTTGTCTCCTGCCATCCCCTCCTTTCTTTCCAGCTGCCCTCTCCCCCTTACTTCCCCCTTTCAGCTGGGTCTGACCGGCTTACTCAAGTTCAAGGTCCTGCCCTCCCACGACGTTGGGCTGCTCTGTCATGGAGGGAGCCACCGCTGTCCTAAAACTTCCTTGGGTTCTTTTGTTGTTGTAAGCATCAGGGAAACACGTGTTTAGGGGACATGCATGAGGTGCCAGGCACTGTGCTGAAGAGAGTTTCATGCACATCTGCCTGTATTCCTGAATGGTAACTATGAGGAAGCCCCATTAATGTCCCTGTTAAGGAACTTGAGACTCAGAGGTTAAGTCACTTGTCCAAGGTCACAGTAGTAGAAGTTTGTGGAGTCAGGAGTCAGACCCAAGGGCTCACAGCCCCAGAGGCAGAGCAAGAAGCTGCTTTGAGCCACAGAACAGATTCATTGTGACCTGCTCTGCCACCTGCGTTTTGCATGACTAACTTCTTCTTTCCAGTGACAAGATGGATGAAGCCCACCAGGTCTTCAGGAAAGAAGGGGCCTGAGGGCACGGGTGGTGGCCTTAGGTGGGCCATGTGACAGAGTGGACATGCACGTGTGTGTGTGTGTGTGTGTGCGCGCGTGTGTGTGCGTGCGCGCGCGTGTGTGTGCGCGCACGCGCACGCGACTGGGTAGAGGACAGGCTCCCTGCAGTGCTCAAGCTGTCAGCAGCTATGTGAAAAGTGTGTTGTGAAACACACCAGCATTGGACGTTCCAGGGCAGAAGCTGCCTGGGTATGGGTGTAAGTATTTGTTTTTTTCCCTAGTTCTTTTGATCTGGTTTCCTTTTTTCTCTGGGCTTTATCTGGAGACCTGTGAAGAATAGGAGGTTGCGCTCACTGTGTGTTTTGGCCACGCTGAACTTGTTAAGTCTGTGCCAGAGCTCTGAGGACTTCTGGGGGCACCACATGGTGGCATCCAGGGCTCCTTCTTGGCAGGTCTCCTGCAGATCTGCCGGGGCAGCAGGTCGCCTGCAGGAGCCCGAGCCCTGCTTGCAGTGTCAGAGAAAACCACTTCCTGGCTCCAGAAGTCACTGCTGCTGGGTCAGGCAGGCAAGTCCTGGCACATTAGGGACCAACTAGCCATCTTACTACCACGGGAAACGTCCTGTGGAGAAAACAATTTATCAGTCAAGGAACTGGTATCAAAGTCAGATGTGGTAATTTAGTGCCTAGCTTTTTGGAATATGGTCATCCTGAGAGTTTTCTAACCTTCTGATTGTACAAACTTCAGACTTCAAGTCAACCTGGATCGTGGCTGTGATATACCCTCCCTCCTTCCCTGTCCTGCCTTTGTGTGTGTACTCATGCACGTACGCACAGTCACAGACATATTTAGCTTTCCAGAAATTTATTCACAGATATGTCCATATTTGTTTACAGTGACTTTGACCCCATGGCTTGTGTCTGTTAACTGAGACGTGGTTGAGAAGGTGTTGAGGGGCTGTTGCAATTGATGATGGAGAGGATAAAATTTAGAGGTGGGGCGAAAGATTGAGTAGCTCAGGTGCTAAGATTAAAATGACATCTATAGAGAGGGACTGTTCTTACTTGGATTTTCTTTTTTGTAGACTCTTGTTATGCTGCCTAGGCTGGTCTTGAACTCCTGGTCTCAAGCAATCCTTCCTCCTTGGCCTCCCAAAGTGCTGGGATTACACGTGTGAGCCACTGCACCCAGCTGAGAGAGGCTGTTTTGATTAGTCTCTCCTTCCAAACTGACTCCCTGGGGGAAGCTGAGGCTCAGGGAGGTTAGTGTCCAGTGGCAGAGCCAGGAGGACCAGTCCCCTTTCCGTTTTTTGACTCTTAAAAAGAGAGTTTGGTGAAAGTCCCTGAATAAAACTGACCTGGGAAAGAAGGTAGAAGATGGTAAGTTTGTGTCAACCCAGGCATCTTGACACCCCAGCCCACTGTTTCCTAGCTTAATTTTCTCATCTTTCACCAAGTGGTTTTTCTATTTGCAAACCTCTGTGCTTGAGATCAGTGGGAATGGCTGACCACAGTTGATTCCTCTATCCACCTTCTACCCGCAGAGGGGTGTGGTTGGGAACTGGGAGCAGCGAGCGGATGCTTGAACAGCAGGTTGCTGTACTCATGGGCACAGGTAAGTACAAGTACAAGTGGCCGGGATGCAGCCCAGGCCTCTTCCTGTTACAATGAGCTCTCCAGGGCTGTGCTGAAATTTTGTTTGGATCAAATATTGCTTGAAACAAGAAGGCTGTTGGCCTCAGTGGCCTGTCTTTTGTTTCAGAGAGCATTTTGTCAAAGCAGAATATTATAGTGAGATGTCAAAAAGCTGCTGCTGATCTCCTCTTGGCCAAGTCTCTCAGGCTTGTGCATCATCCAGAGTGGAGCTTGCGTGAGCCTGGCCTCCTCGGGAAGGGTGTGTGTGTGTTGGCACATGCGCCGTTTTCTGATTCTTGTTTTTTTCCTTCTCTTACAGTATTAAGGGACATCAGCGAGAGAGGGAGGGACCTTGAGCAGATTCTGTCTCAGTATATTACGTTCGTCAAGCCTGCCTTTGAAGAATTCTGCTTGCCAGTGAGTTGAATTCTTGGTTTGTTTTTGTTGAATTTAAAATGTAATGATACAAATGAAAGTCTGCAAATTGCTGGCACTCTCCAGCTTGAATCCTGTCTCTGATTGATCTTGTCCTGAGTCCCAAGAGAGGGCAACCTTCAGCCCTCTTACCTTGTCTCTATGTTTCTTCCAAGAGCTCTGCTGTTCTTTCTTGGGGGTTAGCCCTGTAGGGTCCCGCTAGTCCTTTGGCTGGTGAATTCCCAACTAGTTCCATGCTTCTTGCGTGGTGGGATCAGGGTGCGAGGCCCTTGACTGAACGTGTGTCCTAAGAGTAGTCCTCAGCCATTTGTATGTCTCAAAGGTTTGCAAGGGTTGGAGTATCAGTGGCCCGAGGGCTGTGGCCCAAGGTGTCTCCTGAATCTCTCTTGCCACCCCAGGCGAGCCCTGCATTTGGTCAAGCATGTCTTTAGCCCCTGTACAACTCTCATTTGGGAAGCATCATGACATCCTGGAATAAGCTTCCTCACTTCCACCCTGGCGGGACTTGTAATTAACTTACTAGTGTTCTTCATGGCAGCTGGGAGTTCTCTAGTGAGGTGGCTTTCAGAGAAGGAAGGAAGGGAAAAGGGCACATTATCAATTTACAGCAAATCAGCCCTCAGCCTGGGGAAGACACAAGAGATGTGGTGTGGTCGGCTTGCAGGAGAGGAAGATGTAAGAGAGAACCTGGTTTTGGAGGGAGAAGTATTTAACTCAGGGGAATTCTATACCTGAGTCATTGTGTCTTCTCCAGCATGGCCAAACCATGGACTGGCTTTTTAATCATTTAAAATTAAGCTCAGAGAGAGGGAAGAAGGGACAGGCTGGGATTTATCTTGGTCTTGGTTGAGATCTTTTGGGGAGGCTGGAATCTCTGAAGTAATTGAGAATAGGTTTAGAGAAGGCTGGGTATGGGGATTTTTCTGTTTGTTCTAATATTTCACTTTCTTTTTTCTCTCCCAGAAAAATAGGGTTTCAAACTACCTTTGTCTCTTTAAGCCTGTTTACTTGACTTTTGTTTTGAGCAGGGGGCAGGTAGACTTCCTGAGTTAGCTGAGTAACCTTGATACCTGTTCATTGCCCTGGAGAGACAGTTGAGTTACAAGATCAGATTACTGGGAAGATGCCAGAAAGGGCTGAGGGCCTTGAAATTCTTTCCATTCATTTATCTATCTCAGGACTCTCTTGCTCTTTCTAACTTAATAAGAATGCAAAGCATGGCATCATTGGGTATCCATTAGAGTTAGCTGCTCATTCTCTGTTTAACTTAGTCATAATGGAGCTCAGGATTCTGGGCTGTTTTCTGCTTGTTCCTGCTGTCCAGCTCACTGCCCAGGGAAGACCAGCTCATTCCCCTGTGAGCCAGAAACTTGGACTTGATCAGTGCCTAAGTTAGATTTGGGTCTGACACAGTCATATTCCAGTAGTTCTAGCATGGAAGCTGCAGGAGTAAGAATGCCCACACCCAGTCTCTGAAGGCATTTTTTATGTGGCCTCATACTGAATTTAGGTTGTATGCCAGGATATGGTTATTTGTAAAAATGGTCTGCGGAATCTTAGTAAATTTTTAAAAAGTGTCTACTTATAGCCTTACTTTAAAAAAAAAATTAAATAGTGTAGCAACAGAGCCAGTCATCAGTGGAGATTACTTTTTCTGATTTAACCCTGTGCTAGGAGTGAATGGTGCTACCTTTTAGACTGTTATAAAAATTGAAGAAAGACCCATCTCTTTTTAAGTTTGGGTTTTTCTAATTCCTAATTTTTCCTAGTGGTCTAGAGGCAGTTAAGTGTTCAGTTTCAAAGACCATGTCCTCTGTGCAGGTCATAAACTGAGACAGTGTTAAACATTAGTAACGAGAACTCAAGAAAAAGCTGAATCCTAATATAGCTAGAGTGGCTAAAATCCATGGTAGGCCATTAAATGTGAATTATCAGTTTTTTTTTTTTGAGTTGGAGTCTCACTCTGTCACCCAGACTGGAGTGCAGTGGCCGCTCCCGGCCACCGCAGCCTCGACCTCCTGGGCTCCGGTGATCCTTTCGCCTCAGCCTTCCGAGTAGCCGGAATTACAGGCGTGCGTTACCACGCCCGGCTGATTTTTTGATTTATTGTAGAGATGAGGTCTCGCCTGCCCAGGCGGGTCTCGAACCCACAGCCTCGGGCCATCCACTCACCTCAGCCTCCCAAAGGCGTGGGATCACAGGCTGAACCACCGAGCCCGGCTGAGCAGTTTGCTTTGATGAACCCAGTCTGTACCACTTCCCTCTGACCCATGACTTTATTCTTTATTCCTCCTTCCTTACACTCACATCTTAGCTCAACAAGGTGCTTCCTTAGTTTTCCCCAGTTTTCTAGCTACCTTCACCATGAAGTTGTAAATGATCTTCTCTTCGAAGCCTTACGCTGTGCCGTCTGTGATCGATAGGATGCAGGCTGCTCGTTTTTCCAGAATCTCCTGGAGAGGGGCTCAGGCCAGCTTGTCTCTGAATTCCTCTGTTAATGCATCATAACTGTCTTTCTCCACAGACAAAGAAATATGCCGATGTGATCATCCCTAGAGGTGCAGATAATCTAGGTGAGTGCCGGAGGGTGTCATCCTGTGGTGCATAACTTCTGCCCTTAGTTACAATGTGAAACAGGACGAGGTGACTAGACAGGGCTGGCTGTCCCACTCATCTGTGATCGTGAACCAGAGCCACATGTCTGCCCACCTGCCTGGCCGAGAGAACAGGCCTCTGGGTGTGTGGACACACGTGTACCGGGCTAGACACAAGCTTGTGTTCCTCTGGCAGAACAGAGGGCTGTAGACGGCCTTATATGACCACTCCTGGGATGATACTTGAAGACCTTGCATCCAACACTACCTTTTAACAAAACCAGATTTCCTCCTTGCTCTAACCTGCCACCACCAGAGCCCTTCCTAGAGGAAGCTGCTTGCCACCATTATTATATTTATTTATTTGTTTGTCTTGTCTTGGAAGTATGAATGTCTCTGAACTAGGCATATGGCAGAGTTGATCTGTAAGATAGAACCCTATCTTCTCATTCTTTTTACAATGTATTCCATCTCCCCTCTGTTTAAAAAAAAGCTTTTATATTTGCTGCGTTGTTTGGGAGTGAGTTACTGCAATATTTTACCCTAATTTTTTAAGAACAAGGATATTCTTAGTATATCACCACAGTTTGTCATGATGCTCTGGAAACCGTTGCTATAATATCCTTTAACATGGAGATGTTCCCCAGCCCTTCTTTGTTTTTTTATGTACTGACTTTTTTTTTTTTTGGAGACAGGGCCTCACTTTGTTGTCCAAGGCGGATTACAGTGGCATGATCATGGTTCACTGCAGCGTCCTGGGCCCACCTCAGCCTCCTCGGTAGCTGGGGCTATAGGCACATGCCACCATGCCCAGCTAAGTTTTTTATTTTTTTGTAGAGACGTGGTCTTGCTATGTTGCCCAGGCTGGACTTGAACTCCTGGGATCACACGATCCTCCTGCCTTGGCCTCCCGAAGTGCTGGGATTGCAGGTGTGAGCCACCTCGCCTGGCCCGACACTGACACTTTGAAGAGTACAGGCCCATTGTTGGTAGAATGGCCCTCAGTTTGGGTTTGTCCTTTGTTTTCTTATGACTGTATTCAGCTTTGCAACCTAGAAGAATACCATAGGAGAGAAGTCATGTGGCATTCTTCCTTGGGAATCACGTCAGAAGGCGCTTGCTACTTCTTCCATTTGGAGTGCTGTTAACATTGGTCATTGGGTGGAGGTGTATAATTCTAATTCAAATAAAAGATAGCACCACCGTTTATTTTCAGGAGTAGGCAAGAACCTTCCATGGGGCTGTCTGTTTTGGGATGGAAGCTGATAGGTTCCATACTGGGAGGGTCTCATAGCTAGTTGTTATCAAAACTGTGACTGGTCATCAGGTCTGCAGAATGTTTGATTGCTTCACCCAGTAGTCCTGGTGACTGGTCATCTCCTGATGAGCAGCCTGTTCGTAAGGGCTTATTCTGTGCTAGACAGTGTCTGTCTTACTCCTTAGAATGATCCTGTGGGAGGAAGATCATATTAGCCTAGTGAGAGACACTGGGAGGTTGAGTGACTTGCCTGTATAAGTGGCGGAGCTACTCCTCTGGAAATCTTTTGCCTCTGGTTCCTGCCTGTCCTTCTCCCCGACAGATGCTGACTCACCCCTGCACTTGTGCCAGCACCCTTAACACTCTGCTGGTCTCTGCTTCACAGTGGCCATCAACCTCATCGTGCAGCACATCCAGGACATCCTGAATGGAGGGCTCTCCAAACGACAGACCAACGGCTGTCTCAATGGCTACAACCCTGCACGCAAGAGGCAGGTGTCGGAGTCCAGCAGCCGGCCACATTGACCCGTCTCCTTCAGACCCTGGCCCCTAGCCAAGAGACAGAGCAGGGGTCAGGAGGTGCTGTCCACCTGTACATACCGTTTCCTACGGCGTTACTGAATTTAAGAAAACATCATGGAGATGCAATGCCTTTCTTTTTTCCTTTTTGTACTTTGGAACGGTGAAGTGAAATAGAACTTGACCCTGAGCTTAAATGACAAACTGTGCCAACTACAATTGGTGATGCCTAATTATGACTCCAATGTGTAACCACTTATAAATACATATATATGTATTACATATATATAAAAGGATCTATTTTTGTGTAAATGTACAAATACTGTACAGCTGTTTGTCATATTTTGCAGAAGAGTCTGTACTCGAGTGTTTTGGGGCAGGAGCTAGGGTTTTGCCAAGGGGCAATTCATGTTGTGTCTGGGGCTGGGTGGGGTCAGATTTGGGCATCTGTGGGAGATGGGGTGTGGCGGAGGGGGGATTTTGAGTGCCCTGGACCTTGATGAGAACAGGGTGGGAAACCCTTGCCCACCTCCTCTGTCTCACGCCACCTTCTTGGAGCTAGAGCTTAGTGATACGTCGATAAGAGAGACTCTTGTCTTTTTTTGAGTTGAATTTAGGTGAGAGCTCAACTCAAAAACCAAACTCAGGGAAGAGTCCTGCTGAGGAAAACGTCTTATGTTTTCTTTCTGCCCCACCTCTGGCTGCTTGGACCGCTAGATGACTCCTTCCTTGCCCTGCTGCTTCCCCGTCTTCCAAGAAGCCAGAGCCGTCTCTCTTTCCTTCCCTGACGAGGAACTTATGGGATCATTTCCTGACAGAAGCAGGGAAGGAGGGAGTAGAACAATGCCTGTTGTCATGTCTGAGGAAGCACTGCTTCCTTTTGCCTCCCAGCAAGGAACTGATCGAATTCCTTGGGCTTTTTCCTGTAGTGGAAACGGCGGCCCGTTGCATTGTGGGTTTTGGTTGTGGACGTCTGCAGACTGACAGCTGGCAGCCCCTTGGAGTAGTAAGAGAGCTCTGTCTGAGCAGGGGATAGTGGTTTTTATTCACTGATACCTGGGGTTTGCAGTGAGATGATGGCACGCACCTTTCGTTGGGGATTCTCACAGTGTCACAGCCAGGAGGATTTAAGTTGACAGCACCGAGTGAATATGGCAGCTGCCAAGCATGGGGTAGGAAACATATTTCTGCAAAAGTATTTAGAAGGAGAGTATTTAAGTGGGAGGCTGAAGTTGAAAACATCTGAGGTGGAGATTTCTAGCCTTCCTGAGTGTTTCCTCTTGGTGGACACAACATCTCTGGAAGAAGTACTGATTCCTGACCTGGGTGGAGGGCCAGGGGGCATGGGGAATCAAGCGAGATGGAAGGAGGGATGATGAGTTCTAAGCCTCAGTTCCTAACCACAGAAGAGCCAGAGATTTTTGAGTCAGTGTTGACCATCCTTGTGCTTGGTGGGCTGGGCCCTTCGCTGTTCCTCTGTGGCTACTGTGGCTGGAAACATCTTCAGGACCGTCTCCTTCTGTGCTCCCCAGAGCCTGAGAGGACCATTCAGGCCAATCTGACTCTGTTATTGTTTAGTCGCATCAAATTTCCCCCTCAGTCTCAGCATCATCCAGTTGAACTTCCTTTTTCTGGGCTCAGTTTGACTCTAAAACTGCTTTGCTCTTTTGGAAAATCCAAACCTAGTCCCCCACCAAGCTTTGCTGCCCCAGAGACATTCAGGAAACTGTGCTACAGGCCCCGAAGGGTGGCCCCCCGGCATAGCAGCCACCTGCTTGGGGCAGGGGAAGGTCCCCACGGTGCCTGCTCTAAGGGCCGGCTGAGCTGGAGTGTCTCAGGATCAGCCTTCATGACCTTCATAGACACACTTGGATCGGTTCTGAGATGAAGGGAGGCTGGTGGGCCTGCACCATCCTCCCGAGGACACAGGGCTCCCGGCCTTGAGGGCCCAGCTATGCTCGGCTGAAGCCCACCTCTGTCTGCAGAGCCTCGGCCCTTCAGTGGGTAGCTCGCTCAACTTTACTTGAAGCTCCCAGGTGCCAAACCATTTAGTGCCTTGGCTGTCTATCCCACTGCCCTGGAAGAGGGATTCTTCTCATCTTGGAGCCTTTACTTAGCTGCTTCCTCATCTACCTGTGGTGTTGGGACCGAGCCTCCCGCATTCCAAGGAGCCCCCTCCTAACTTGGAACAGCTCTAGGGCTGCCCTGCCCCCTTGGCACACGATCGCCGAGTCTTGGGGGCTTGGCAGGGGCCCTGCGCGGTGTTTGCATGCGCCCGGGGCAAGGAGGGGAAGGGAGGCTCTGCGTGACCCAGCATTGAGCCGCCATGTCTCTCAACTTGAGCTTTCTGTAGGATAGCATCATGGTCTTCGCTTTTAAAGAGCCTCTGGAGCTCTGATTCCGTGGAGGCTCAAGGGTCGAATTATTAGACCAGAGACTGTGGCATTTGTCATCCGGGTTCTCCTTGGTGTTCAGAGAGGAGGCACAGACGGCAGAGTGGGGTGATGTGGGCCTGCGCGCGGGAGTCCCTTGGCCTCAGAGCCACGCGATGGTGCTTGCATCTCTCTCCCTGCTCAAGTGTCGTCTGTGGACCAGGTGTTTAGAAACAAATACCTGAGTGCCGTGTCATGGGGTGGTCCTGGTTTTATAACCCTTCACGCTGATGGAACTCCTCTAAATTTCTTATTCTTGGGCCTGATCCCGGTATGAGCAGAGTGCTGGGAGCCTGTCTGATAATGGAAGTGGTGTCACCTCGGGTGTCCTTTGGTTTGGAGGATGGGGTAGGGCCTTGAAAAGGCAGTGGGCTAAACAACAGGGTCTCTGTAGACCAAGCCGGGGAAGAGTCTCTGCTCAGCTTTTCTTGGAACTCTCCCAGTCATCCCTGCTTCTTGTCTCAGCCACTCAGAGATCCTGGGAAAGTCGGTTCTTCTCACCTGGGCTTGGAATCGGGTGCTTGTGGCTATGCCCAGGGTGGGTGACCAGGCTCGTTAGGCCACTGGGTCAGGCAGGAGGCTCACGGACACCTCAGCGCAGTTGGGAGGCAGGAGGAACTTGAGCCCGGAGAGTGTGTATGTTATACTCTTGCTGCCCTCTGCTCTTTCTTTGGCTTCGCCGTGACCTGCACACCCAAGGCCGAGGGAGGGTAGCTGCCTCGTGCAGGGAAGTCTGCTCCTCTGCCCTGGAGTCTCCTTTGCGTCTGTCAGAGAGCCCAGTGCCGAGGAACTGGGCTGGTCGAGGGGAAGCTGGGTGGGGTAGATTGTGGAAGGACTGGCGGGACTTGTCTACCACCCTTGCTCTGGGTGGAGTGGGGGAACATTCTCAGTGTCAGACAAAACAGGAAGGGAGCAGTCTGGCAAGGGCACGACTGGGTGCATCTGGAGCTCGCAGTCCCTGTTAACCTCTTGTCCCTGGGCCTTCTGCTGCCTTTCTCGTACCAGGGGCCAGGTCCAGGTCGGCTTTCTGGTGGCTGAGAGGCGGGGAGTGCCTCCCCAGTGCTGCCTCAGGAGCAGGGTGAGCAGCTGCGTAAAGACCAGGCTTCTTCCCTCCTTTAGGATGCTTGCCCTTTCCTCCTTTCACTGCCCTCCCTGTATTGTTAGTGGTTATAAAAAATGACTACATTATTATATACTTTGCTGTAAATAAAGACTGAACAAAAAAGATCCAGTTCTCGCCTTCTTTGTGGTCAGGGCCCAGAGCAGTGACAGATTCCTGAGCAGCCCAGGGAGGGTCTGCGATGTGTGGGAGGCTTAGATGTGGTCACCTGGCCTGCTGACATGCAGCCTCATGGTCCTGGGGCGGGCCCCGGAACTCAGCCGGGCTCAGGCACTGGTAGGATCCCCGACTTACATTCCCCTTGTCAAGTGGAAAATGTGGGCCGAGACTTCTGGGAGGGTTGGTTCTTGGGACCTTCTGGCTCTGTGTTCCCCCTCATGTCACCCAGTTTATGCGACCTCTGTCACCTGTCTTTCCCAGTTCGGTCACCCAGCCCTTCCTCGCTCAAACAACCTAAAGTAAACTTTTGAGGGTGAGGGTGGTGGACGGAGGAGAGTTTATCTTATAATAGCTCAGACAGGATTATATTATGTATGTGGAATGAGTGAATGTATGTGGAATGAGCCAATGAATGAATGCATGGATGTCTGCCTTTTTAAATTTTTTTTTTGAGTCAGAGTCTGGAGTGCAGTGGAAACTCATGGCCACCACAACCTCAACCTGCTGGGCTCAGGTGGTCATTCTGCCTCAGCCTTCCAAGTAGGAGAACCACACCCATCTAATTTTTTGATGTATTGTAGAGATAGGATCTCTCCAAGTTGTGCAAGACTGGTATCAAACCCTTGGGCTCAGGCAATTCCCTAGCTTCTGTCCCCCAGAGTGTGAGATTACAGGTGTGAGCTGCTGCACCCGTTTTCTCCCTGTTGTTCAAAGACCCAGGCGACCTGCCACCAAGGATTGAGAATTGGCGGCTTCTGTGCTCTCTGCAGCACTTCAGACCAGCTCACCAGGTCTTTCACAGTTACCTCTCATCTCTCCATCTTGTTCCAGGAAGGTACCCGGAGGACCCCTTGATGAGCAGAGCCATTCTGCGCTTTCCAGTCCTCGGTCCACTGTGACAGAGGCGCCCCTCTGGGGAGGTGGCAGGTGTTGTCCAGAGTCCGCCCTCAGAAGGCAGCTGTGTTTTAAGTAACACTGAAGTGCCTCTCTACAGGAGCTGGTGTTACCAAGCATGCATGTTGTCTTCTGCCAAGTTGAGTCAGAGTAAGGGACTTGCCTGATGTTACCCAGGAGGTGACCGTGCAAGCCGGTGCTTAGCAGTGGTCAGTTTTCCTCTCTGCCCTGCGGGCACCTCCCCCCATCCCATGCAGGTCTCATCTGGACTTCGAAGTTTTGTCAGTTCTCACAACTCAGTTCTGTGTCTTCATAGTTGGGAAATGGCGGTGTGGGTCCGGGATGTCCTGTCTTCCCACCTTTGTGTCACAGCATGCTGAGTCAACCTTCAGCCCAACTTGCAGGAGATAGCTGTTTGACTAGTGCTGCTTTAATCAAACCATTGATTGGGGCAGATTAGAAGGAACCTGTTAGGACCTGCTGAAAGGCATGGAGAAGGAGCCCTGGGATGCAGGAAAGCCTATTTCAACAGGGTGAACCAGAGATGTTGGGTTTCTATCATTTGGTGCTGGGGAATGTTTCGATCTCTATGTTATGTGGGTTTTTTTTTTCTTTTTTGTGTTGTTGTGGGGGTCTCACTCTGTTGTCCAGGCTGGACTACAGTGGCAT